AGTTATTCTTCTCTTCACTAAACAAACAAAAGGGATACTGCATATATTTTGCGCCGTAGATAATATTCCTGTGAATATATCCCACCAATGGTGAGCCGACGCCTATACTATTAGTTTTAGCCATATGTAAAAACCTTTCTTTGAGCCATGCAGGTGGACACTGTTAGATCAGACACGTTTTAGACTTATGAGACTTGATCATTTCAGTCAACTCTATGGACTCATTCAATGCGCATTTTAAATGATCCAGAGAGACTCGCCATGGAGTAAGGAACTATAATTAGTCAAACGATAAGTCTAGTTGTTCCGAGTTCACAGATGTACACCACACACACATCCAGAGAAAGGCACCTTAGGTACTTTTTATTGTTGCTCTAACCTAGTTCATGAGTCTAATCACACAATACCTTGTCTCTGGTTAAACATGGGTTAACATGATTAGTTTCAACATACATATCACTCTTTTATCAGACAGTTATTAAAGGCAAAATGTGATATTTGCATAACTGTGGTTGCCTTCATTACATTTTGTACTCTCCTCCACTTATGATGATTCGATGTAGTGACACCACCCTCTGGCAGGGCTCCTCCTGCAGCTGTACAAAAAAAAAACTGCAAGGTACACAGGAAAACAAGTTCAAAGCTTCAATTATGTTGGAGAGCACTTTTTCTGTGCTCCCCCCACATCTTTAGCTGCAAGTTTATTTCTTTTATCAGTATTTTGACCGTTTCTTCTTGAGTCATGACAACTGATGGTATCCAGAACCTTTCTTGAGTAACTGCCAACGAAGCACGTCTCCTCCTTCTCCTTAATTGGCAGTAAAAATCAAACTTCGTTCTTCCTTTTTTTTTTTCTTTCATCTGGTTTAGCATGTACCGTTCCCACACATGTTGCACAGTGGGGCCTCCACACAACTCCAATCTGACATCTAAGGTACCACTGGGATGGTTTCCCTGTGGTAGCATGTCAAAAGTCACTTTGCACTCAGATCTTGCTTGCATCTTTTTTTTTTCAACCAAAGTGAACACCTGATCCTCCTCCACGACACGTCCTGGTGTTGCTGATGAGGCGTTGTCCATCTGCAACAAGGCACGTGATGCCCAAACAGCCTGCACTCCGATCTGACTTGGCACCTTGTCACCAGCTCCTCGGGGCGACCTTGATCGTCCAAACAACCAAGACCAGGAGAGCATCCAGCTGTGGAAACAATAAAACTGCTTTTCAACAAAAAGAGAGAAGAATTAGTTTTCTCTTTAATAACACTTATAAATTGGTACTTTTACCCATTTTTCCTTCTCCTGCCTCTGGGATATTGCAGACCCAGACCAATTTTATAGCTTGAATTTGACCTGAAATACTTTTCAGTTTGTCAAATCATGTCTTTCATTTTCTCAGCATTTCCTTTTTTTTTTTAACAGTTCATCCATTCCCTTAATCAGCCCAGCAGCTTTGTGGGTGATAAGGAAATATGATAAATCCATTCAACACGTTTTTCAGCTGACCAGTCTTTCACCTGTTTTCAGTAAAATGGGTCCCATTATCTGTATCTGAAGGGGACCCTCATAAAATTATTTCATCATACTAAGACTTTTTAAAGTAGATGTCTGATTTGCATATTTACAAAGATGAGTCACCAACACACCTGAATATGTATCTACAGCCGTACATACATATCTACACCCCTGTGACATGGCAAAGGGCCAATGAAATCCGTTTGCCAGATCTGATATGGTCCCTTTCCCCTATTTATCTCTGTATTTTACTATCGTGACCCTCTTTCTTCTAATGCTGCACGCTTCACATCGTTGTATTTGCAGTTTCATCATCTGTCTTGTTCTTACAACTAATCAAACAATTCTTCATACATAACCACTTCATGCAAAAAGTGTCAATAATTAACTTATTTATTAAAAAGAAATCCTTCTTCTAGTCTTGGCCCCACTCAAAATGTTTAACTCATCAGTTTTCAAAACTGAGATGTTAACTTTTTCCACAGAACCCCTCTTGAAAAGAGCTGAACTTTCACTTTAAATGTGAAACATCTGCAAAACAAGATGGTGAAATTCTTTTTATCTCAGATATTTTTGGATACTTCTAGAGTTGTTTTTAGATGCTGTCAAAACTATAGCTGCAGGTAAACCATTTATAAACAACATATGTTGCACTTCCTTCCAAACAATATACAATGCACTTCTTTCAAAGCAAACAGCTTAATTTAACACATCCAAACAACATATTTATTTCTAGACATTTCAAATCCACCCTTTTCCCCTTAAACCATCTTGACTTTAGGCATTTTAAAACATCCTTAGTGGCCCAAAATGTCAATACTTGTGCCTTTAATGGCAACATCAGATGTCTTAATTTCTCCTTTGACCTTTGGCATTTTAAAATCAATATCACCTTCAAGTTTTGGGGCTTTTTAATTTAACGTCAAAATCTGGGCTCTCTAATTCTGGACCTTTGATGTTCAATGTTTGACAATATCTGCTTTTCAGAGTGTTGATGTCAACTTTTGGACCCTACTTTTGCCCCTCTAATCCCAATAATGGCTTCCAGCCCTCAGCTCTTCAGCTGACACATCATTCATCTCAGCTGCATGCACTCCTGCCTGCATTAATGCCCTCCAGAAAGCAGAACGGGTAGGTTCCTGCATGTTTTTCTGGCCGTCCCTTCTCGGCCCACGACCCATGGGTTGGCCAAATGATTTTTTCACAGTTTTCAGCTCTGTGCTCCTCCTTGTGAACGCACAGCGAGCGCGCCCCTCAGCACATCTCTGCTCGCACTCCCACAGGGTCACCCAATGACCCTGTAAATCAGAGTCCTCCGATGTTATCTGTCGGGCTGTTTCTACACAAACTTCAAACAACGGTCTTGAGTCTTGCAAAGCTCTGACTCGATGTGCTGAATTCATTACCTGACCTCCACCTCTGTCTAACAGCCTCAAAACTCGAGCATCTGTGGATTGTGATATTAAACTCGACGGATTCCATCCGTCAGCCAACCTTGCAACATAAGCTCCGACCCGTTCCGGCAAAACATCACGCTCTTTCTTCCTCATTTTACGCCTGCATACCACGCTCTCAGCTACATTAATCAAGCGGTCTAGCTTGCACTCTGTCTGCGCATCAGATAACAACTGTTTTCGTTGTAAAAACTGTTTCTCTTTCTCCTGAACTTCCTCAACACATTTCTCCTTCTTTCTCTCAAACTTTCCTCGCAACCGGGACTCCTGCTCCACCGCCCCGTCAGCTACACTGCTCATTCTCACAAACTGAGCACCGAGCCGTCCATTCAACAAACAGGCGGTCCTCACATTCTTGTTTCTTCCATTGAGCCTGTAATTGCATTTTCTGATTTTATGCTGAAGTCCTGTCACTGGTGCCATCTTTTTTTTTACCTCTATTGCCTGCAAAAGTGGTCAAAACATCACTCGGACTATCTGCTTTCAGAAAAATTGTTCTAACAACATAAGATGAGCTTCTTCACACCTCTTCAAAAACAATAAAAAAAACAACTGGGATGGGACTTCTTCCCATCCCGGTACAACTTTTTCTCCGTTCAGCTCACGCCTCCTCAGGCGTCTGAATAAACTTTTTTTTTTCTGTTTTAAACTCTCACACAAAGGCTCGGGCGTCCCCTCCACCTCTTAAACACAAAGCCAGGGTTGGATAACTCTTCCAACCCGGCACAACTATGCAACTCGCATCAACATTTCTCTCAACACCTTTTTTTTTTTTCCTCGTTTGAATATGGTGCAGCCGTTCAGAATTATTTATTTAAATTCTTAACATCCCATCCTCGTCGCCAAAAATGTATTGTGAAATTCTTTATCAAAAGGGCTCGTGAAACGGTCGGCACATATTCAGACAAATGGAAAAAATGAAAGACAGAAGCTGTTACTGCTAGGATAAATTAGTGTCCTTTATTATCCAGCCACAGAGAACAGCCAAGCAAAAAAACATGTACACTCTTAACACACAGATTGATATGAAATAACTTCTCACCGTGACACTGGCCGGGAAGTCGTTTTCGACCCAGGTAAAGGAGAATCACATCAAAATGGCATATGGCATCAGCGCGTGCTGATCCACACCGGACTTCCAACTCTCTGTTGTTTGATACATTTCTTATATACCTTCTTCCCTGACCGGATCGCGTGAGAGCAGATCAAAGCAAGTTTGATGGTTACCAGAACAACGGATCTAATTAAACCATCATCAAAAGCGATGGCTCATCCTTCCAGTAAGGAGCGCCTGTGACCGTAAAAGCGGGCCAAAGCTTCCAGGTCAAGAGCACTCCTAATGCTTATTAAAGCATTCCTAAAGAGCACTCCTCGTCCCTTCTGCAAACCATCAAAGAGTGTCTAAATATTCACACACACACAAAGTATATGTTTGAACAGGCATAAAGGCGACCCAACACCTCATAACATAATACAAAATACAATCCCTAATATGTGAATAACACGTTGTATAAGTGTGTTT